CACTGTTCTGGCATTTTTTGAGTCTCATAAAAATAAACACCAAAATATCACATTTTTCACCAGGTCTGATGTTTGGGCAAAATTTTACAACTTTTCATGTATGTTCAGGGGGTGAAATTAAGGCTCAAAGTGCAGAATTTGACATCTCTCGAGCAAAAACAATAGGCCCTTTCCCCGTTCGGGGCTCCGGCCTAATTATGTGACAGAAGCCAGAAAGGCATGAAAGTGAAAACGAGTGATGAACCAAACTGCTTTGAATCATTTTTAAGAAACAGGAAGTCACAGACTAGGAAGAGCTCTTTGAAGAACTACTTTGGCTCTCGGTGCAGCAGTCAAGGAAGAGAGGTAGAAAATAGAGTTAGTAGGGGGCAGGGGGACAGGTTATGAAGCGTTCCTGAGTCCAACAGCAGAGAGAAAGAAACTGTTCTTATGGTGTGAGGTTCTGGCCCAAACGGACCGTAGCCTCCTGCCTGAGGGGAGAGGTTGGAACAGTCCATGTGCTGGGTGATAACGCTTTATTGGATTGAGATTGGGATTTAAATCGTTGGATTGAGCCTCCCGAGATCATTATTGTGTTCTTGTATCTTTTTACTGCAATCCAAGTCCTTTTGCTTTAAGCTTAAAATTGTGACAGCCGCAGTGGTGCTTTGTTGAGGTGTCCACGGGCAAGACACTTTACCCAGTCTGACCTGAGGCGGCTGCAGACTGATACTGTGTCTCTGGGCCAAAGTGAAACTATAGACTTATTATTCTCTGGGCAAATGAATCATGTTTCGAGAAGTGGGAATGTCCTACTCTGAAAAATACACCAGACAACACATATCACCGGAGTGAATACAGTGGGGCAAAAAAGTCGTTTGTCAGCCTCCATTTGCAAGTCCTACCACTTAAAAAGATGAGAGATGTCTGAATCGGTCTAATGATTCTCCTTTTTAAAAGAAAGAGAAAAAGTATTTAGTCAAAAACAAAAGTCCAGGTTTTCACACACTGCTGCTGGTATTTTGGCCCATTCCTCCATGCAGATCCCCTCCTGAGCAGCAATGTTTTGGATTGTGATTGTTTGGATTTTTCTGTTAGCTTTTTTTGTTTTTCATAGCTGAGATACACCTATGATGAAGATTGGAGTTACTGTTGCCCCACTGTCTACAAAACAGGAAGCCGTGTTTATTTTCTCTAAACAAAAACCGGTACATGAGCTTTATCACCCAACCATCCAACCATGAATACAGTAAGTAAAGTAGTGACACTCCTGCATTCCAAAGTATTCAGCACAGGCAAAACTCCCACATTTCCACTCAGAGAGACACGGGCTGATGTGTCAAACGGCTCGCCATTTAACCTGCCTCACGAACTAATTTTTTTTGCAGAGGCTTGTTCAGTGCGACCATTTAGAGCCGTAATTTAGACATCAACAAAACCAAAATTTGTACGTGTGGGTGATTGGAAGAAGGCGGAGAAAATTACACACAAGTCACACGAGGGACAGTACTTTGCATAACGACAGCATCACGAGCCGCGGAGCCATGTCGGGTGAGTGAAGCTCTTATCGTCAGAGTTTGGACCATTTTGTTCTCTGTCCACTGGTCCCAAGTACTCGGAATGGGGAAAGGGACACCACTGCACTGTATGCTTGTATTTCAGTTTAGCATTTTCCCCTTTGGCATCAATTTTCTGCTAATGTACATATGCTAACTTATAACCACACTTTACTTGCACAAGAATACACAATACTTTGTATATAATGTTACATTTTTACATCTGTTATTATTTTCAAGACAGTTTTTATACTTATTATAGATGCTGGAGTTCAAGATTTTTCAGGTAACGTGTGCTTTGTGCTCCACTTTCCTACTGTTCTATAACTTGTGATGCAACACTGAAATTTCCCCACTGTGGGACAAATAAAGGATCTATTAATCTTAATCTTTGGGATTCTCCTCCTGTATTTACGGAAGCCCCTTATAACTTCTTGATGGAGTTGTTTTGTTTTTGGTTTTCCTTTGTTCAGTTAGGTTGCTGTTTGGGTTAAAAAACTAAACATGCTTCTACATTTACATTTTGTCCTTGTAAAAGATCTATGTCAACATTTTTTGTCCATTATTAGAAAATCGTAAATTAACTGATTCAATTGCTTAATGAAAAAAGAAAAAAAGAAAGTCATAAGTTTGTTTTGACCCTTTTGACACGTTCCTTTCTTCCACAGGTCCAAACAACACGCCCACCTTTCCCACTATTGTCCTGTCATTTCAAAAACAAGTCAAAAAGCACAAATTAGCAGTACGATTACAGTTTTCTAGATTCTACCACCAACAGTTTGATGTAAACAGTTTTTTATTTGCCGCAGAGCGATGTTCCGACGTGTGCAGCCAGGAGGACGGTTCTCCTTACGCCGTAACATTGCTTCATCAAACGCCTTCTTTCACAAGTCTGTTTGCTCAGTGCAGACCTTTTGTGGCTTTGACAAATTCAATGTGTAAAGAGAGTATTTCACAGAGAGTTTTGGTGGAGAAGCACGCCCCGACCTGCTCAACTCCGGAGCCAGCACCGACAGGAAAACTATTCATCTGTGTTCTCAACCGAGGGATTTTAGTTTTACAGTGTTTCATCCACGGTGGTTATTTATTATTCTAATGCCTCGTGTGAATGTCTATCTTGTTTTGTTTGGCTCTTTGAATTGCCCTGTGTATGAATTGTGCCTTACAAATAAACTTGCCTTGCCTTAAGTAAGTAAGTCATCTTAATTATATAGTGCCAGAGTATATTTGCTTTAATGAGGCAAATGATATAATTGGTTTGTTAAGGCCTTCTGTCTAAAAGCTGCCGTCTCAGTCCCGTGATCGTCTGACGTCAGTGCGAATCAGTCACAAGGTTGGTTTTCTGAAACATACTGCACAGTCCAAGTTGCTCAAATTTGAGATCTGATAGAATATAAGATAACTTTTAGGACATTTTGAATTGCTTATGAGTGAAACTCTGGAACAAACTGGACTCACTCAAAACACGAACAACTCCAAAATATGAATCAATTTAAATTATTATACAAACATCGGACCTGGTCAGAATCACATGAGGGTGACTTTGGCCTGAGTGAGGGCGGTTTACTTTTCTGTCTGAAAAAATGGATCTAACAACGAGACAGAGGTAAAAAATAATAATATCAAAATAGAAACCTGGTGCAAACACAGTGTAATTGCAGTTTTTCTGGTCTGAAAGGCACATTTTCTTCACGTGTTTTCTTTGGAATGTTTAAATCCTGTCGAACAACTCCATTCAAACTGTTTCCGTGTGACCGTGCACTACTGTAGGTTGGTTTTCTAAAACATACTGCGCAGTCAAAGTTGCTCAAATCTAGAATAGAATATAACTTTAGTCTTCTGTAAAGCATTTGACAAATCATTACTGTCTAAAAGTTTTTTTTACTATGGCTCTCACAACTTGAGAGGTTTAGGACATTTTGAATTGCTGATGAGTGAAACTCTGGAACAAACTGGACTCACTCAAAACACGAACAACTCCAAAATATGAATCAAATTAAACTATTGTATAAACATCGGACCGAGTCAGAATCACATGAGGGTGATCTCTTTATTTTGTACAGTAATGATCGACATGTGCTCAAGGATTTTTACCATTGTTAGTATAATGGTGATGAAAGAAATGCCCTTAAAGTTTTTCTGCAGCTGGTCATTTTTCAAGTTTGGCTCCTCCCCCTGGTGGCAGCAACAGGAGTTACAGGCTTACTTCATATTTGTTTCACCATATTTTCTACTGACGATATTATTTCACATTCAAAAGCATGATGTGACAAAGTAAATAGTCTCATTATATTTCTTTTACTCTACAAAAATTCTTTAAAACAAGATTTTCCAACAGAACACGCAGCTTCATCATCATCCCTAAAGGACTACATTCATGTCCACTGCTTTTCCTTTTGTGCATTCCCCAGAATCACCAAAGCTCATGATAAACAGATAAAGACAATAGAAAACATACAGTATTTTTTTCATCAATATTTACAGCTGAGGTTAAAAACCAAATAGAATGGAAATCTGCGATACAATCCTTTTAACTACTTCATAGTTTCTGTCACATCTTTGGATCAGATTTTTATCAAACGTTCCTTCATATATATTACCTTTTGTTTTTCCAACAAGAAATAGTTGTAAAACCTGCATGTGAACGCCGGAGCCGTCAGACCTCTGAAGCAAACCAGGTCAGGGTCTGGCTGCGGTTGTAAAGTACCAAAACAGACATTGTGTCCGTAGGCAAGACACTTCCCCCACATTGCCTAGAATGAGTCTGGCGTGTGCAAGAATGGTTGGTGGTGGTCGAGGGGGCTGATTCTGGTTGTCTTGCCCATGTCAGTCCCTCCCAGGGCAGCTGTGGCTCTGTGTAAAAGCCATAGACTGTAAATATTGACGGACGTAGTCACGCCTATCTCCGCTGTTCTAACTAATGGGCAAAAAATTGGGCTTTCATAGCAGCGAGTAAATTAGGCTGGTCCAAAAAAAATCACTCCCCTCAGCATTGACACACATGTGGAACGGAGCTTTGGGCCAAGAGCCAACTTTTGGACCATCCCGTAAAGGTGTTTTCGAGAGGTAAGAAGATGCTATATGTTAGCATTGGCTAATTCTTATCCCGGGTCAGTTTCAGTTTCAGTTTCAGTTTATGGGGGTCCACCCCCATCGGCCCGGGGGTGGTAATTGCAAGCAGGTCAGCGCACGTCATTTTTGCCATTTTTGAGCCGGGACCCGCCCCCACTTGTAAAAGCACTATATGAAAAAAATGAATGCTGTTTTCATCTTGATGGTATATATTTTGCATACTTATAAGGACACTTTGGCCTGAGTGAGAGCGGTTTATTTTTCTGTCTGAAGAAAACTGATCAAACAACAAGACAGAGGTTAAAAAAAAAAAAGATACAAAAAAGATAAAAATAGGAACCTGGTGCAAACACAGTGTAATTTCAGTTTTTCTGGTCTGAAAGGCACATTTCTTCACGTGTTTTCTTTGGAATGTTTAAAACCTGTCGGACAACAACATTCAAACTGTTTCTGTGTGACCGTACACTACCATCCTCCTGGGATAATACTTCACACTTCTCTCTAATAGTTTGTCCACGGCGCTGACGAGATGGATGTTTACGGTCAGGAAAAGGGGAAGCACGAACATAGCGATCGCGCACACGACCCCTATCATTACCTCTGCCCCGAAGCCACTTCCACTTTGAGGCCGCGCTGATTTAGTTTCTTCCACTAACATCAAACCTATAACTTTCTCTGTGCCTTCATAGTCTTTGTCTTCAATGTTGTGTCCAGGGGAGTGTTTGGCATTTGCAATTGGATGCTTCTGGACTGGACAGCTGTGTTTATTTGCGTTAGCACCTGTGTTGGCTGGTTCTTTAGGTCTAACGCTTATAATGCTAATGCTTATGAAAATACACATCGGGAAGTAAACCAAAGCCATTGCCCAACAAGGTGGTAAGGCGCTCATCATTGGGCTGTGAATATTTGGGAAACAGGTTAGAATAGATTGAGTTGAGTATAAGCATTCAATAGTAAAGGCGTCGTCATGATCCAAAGACAATCGGATGTTAATGGCGGCAAAAATCCAAAGGGCCAAGCTGCAGAGGTACGGCTGGCAAAAGTGATGCCAATTTGGAGTTTTCTCGCGTTCGTCTGCACCGGGAGTGTCATCTGGTCGCTTCGTGTCGTGGTGCTGGCAGTGATCGTCGGTTTCCAGTAATTGCAGATGGCGAATGAGAATGTCCACAACAATTTCAGGCAGTGTGAGGAAAAAGACGGCTCCGTACGTGTTGCAAGTGAAAAGCAGGGAGCGCTGCGCAATGATGTCACCAGCAGAGGGAGCTATGAGCTGCCATTGCCTCAGGATCAGCAAGGAACTGAAGAAGACTGTGGGAGAGGATAAAACAGGGTCAAGTTAGTGGGGGTGAAGCTGTTATATGCAATGTCGACTTGTCACGCAATGACAAATCTTCAATCTACTGTTTTTGAAGTCCTCAAGTCTACGGGGAAAAGACCATTTTTAACACTTTACCTCACAAAAAAACAAATGAAATAAATTGACATAAAATCACTTTTAAATTAAACACTCTACAGAGACAAATGGACTCATTTTACCACATCATACTGACACAAGAATTCAAAAAAATGGTTGATTTCTTTTTAGTTTATTTTTCTTTATTAATCCCCCATCCATGTGTTTGTATGGATGGATGTGTTTCTGCTGCTGGACACATGTTTTTGTCCAAAGAGGATCAATAAAGTATCTATTTATTTATGTAAACAACAAAATTGACACATTTTCCTATAGTCTGGAGCCACAGTCTCAAACATGAGTTGGACCTGCTTTAGTCCGCTATACTTTGTGTTTGAGTTGAGTGTTTTTGTTAACTTTGACCCTAAAGACCGTGCAACGAACGCTCTAGCTCCGCTCTGAAGAATGCTCCAGTTTTCTTAATGAGCTGACCCTCATGTTATTGGCCCTGAAGGTCAAAGTGAACAAAAAACAGAGACTGTGGCCTTGACTATAGGAAAATGAGTCAATTTGCCCCATTTGTCAAAGTCGTGCTATTTCATACATTATGTTTAATTGTTCAGGTTTTAGTTTTCTTTCACCTTCATGATGTCAAAATTAACACTTGAAATGACACAGTTGGTCCTCTAAATATTGTTGTTTTTTTTTTGTCCTATAAGATGTAGTTGAAATTTTGACAAATAGTCAATATCATTTGGTAAAATGTGTTATTTTTTCACTTTAGTACGTTTATAAACAAAAAACAAACTTAAAAACTAAACTAAACCTAGACTATGTGACATCAAACAGCATTTTTCTGCAAAGTATTGCCCTTAAAATTAATTTTGGCAACTTCTCCTGGCAAATTGGCATTCTTTAAGTTCAACGTATTTGCAGCAGGTCATTTTCAAATCCGGGAAATAAACAACTCCCTCTGGTGGTAGCAGAGGGAATTACAGGCAGCAAGCATTTTTTTTTTTTTTTACCCTTCATACTTTTCCACTATATTTTCTACTCAAGATAAGATAAGATTACATCATTACATCACCCAAACCTTTTAATCGGTTTATTGGTAATATGTGACATTTGTAAAGCCCTCACTTGTCAGAACCGCATCAGTGAAGAGCAGCAGGCAGCAGCAGCAGAAGCTCACTGGGCTGCTGACGGACCTGAGGGCCGAGCGCAGGAGCGGGAGAGTGACCAGCAGCTTCCCCAGGCTCAGCACCAGGGCTCTCTCCAGAACCGCCTCCATGGCCCCACAGAGAAACCAGCCCCAAGGAACAGCTCAGGAATCTGCAAGACAACCATCTGGTTTAACTGGAGTCATTATCTCAAGTCTCGTCTTGTGAGCAGTGAAAACGAGACCAGAGTGGGGGGTGCAAAAGCAAAACTCTTTTCATTTACACATTTATCAACTTTAAAAGATTGTGATGGATAAATGTCTGTTTTTCTTTGATGATCCAGGACACTCCACATTCAACGACATTTATGGACTTTATTGACATAAAAAGCGCTTTGTGACTCTGGTCTGTGAAAGGTGGTGTACAACAAAAGACTACTTACTTACATATTTGTTTCTAGAGCACAAAGTAAGTCAATTTAAAGTAATGATAATAAACATTATTATATGACTTGGACCGTACCCGCGCTCTGATTGGCTGATTACCGGTCTGATATTTTCCCATCTCGGACCGTTACCATGACAATTGGTCCGAACAGTATCACATTTGATATCTTTCCTCGGACCGTTACCATGACAATCTGTCCACAGCGCGTATCACACAAAACCAAGTCGGACATGAACATACTTTACAAATATCTCAAAAGCATTGGTAAAGACACAGATGAGACACAGATGAGAGTCTGAAATATTAAGTGTATTATTTGATTTGTACATTTCTAAATCTTTTGGCGAGCTACCTGGAAGGGGGTGGGCCGAGCTACAGGTTGGAGACCCCTGGTATACATGTAGTACCTTTAATATTTGCAACGAAGGTGGAGGCGTTTTTCCTTTTTTGTTGTTTTTACTTCTGCCTACTCCTCGCTCTATATAGCTCTGAAGTAAACATAGTCTCTTTCGTTGCATCAACTGTATGTCTTGCTCTGGGCTCAAATAAACAATCTGAGCTGAACTGAACTGAAACTGTGAGATTTATATGGTTGTGTGGTTTGCTTTGCTTCACAGATACATTTCTTTGCTGTATCTACTTTAATCTGTTGAGAGTATTTTGAACCAGACTGAAAGGTCAACAGCCGTGATGACATCTCTGAAATTCAAGTCCCAGTAAACAAACGCAACTGTTGTGTTTGACCTTCCAATCGATAATACATGAGTCAATGGCTGCATGTTTCTACTGACTGTGTATAGATGGATAATGCTAACTGCTAGCTAAAGGAAGCCTAATAGGGAAGTGCTCATGGATGAAGTTTTGCTCAAACTCAATCTGGTTTATTGTCCCATTGACTTACATTGACTTACAATAGCTCAGCAACCGTTTGTGTCATATTCTACTACACAAAATCTATTACCGGTCTATGATCCTGGGAGTTTGTGTGTTGTATCACGCGGTCTAAGTCCAGTTTTTCTGATTTCAAAGTTTTACAAGTCAAATTTATGAACACCTGATGCCACAGTGGGGCGTCTGCGGCTGTAATGTGTCCTCAGGCAAGACACTTCACGCCCATTGCCTAGAATGAGTCTGGTGTGTGTGAATGGTTGGTGGTGGTCGGAGGGGTCGATGGCACATTCTGGTTGCCTCGCTTCTGTCAGTGTGCCCCAGGGCAGCTGTGGCTACAGTAGTAGTTTATCACCACCGTGTTTGGAGTGAATGAATAATGACATGTAAAGTGTCTTTGAGTGTCCAAAAAAGCCCTATATAAAAAGATGCATAATAATGCATCTTTTTTATATAGGGCTTTTTTTCATTATTATTATTATTAAAATAATTTTCATTATTATTATTATTATTATTCATATTTCTTCACTTTTTTCTTTGGAAAGTTGAGGCTGGCATTGCTCTGTGCGTACTTATACATCATAGAAAAACTTTTTAAAAACTGCAACCGCATCACTGTACTTTATCACCCTCCTGGGAAAATACCTCACACCTCTGGGATCCAGATTTGAGGCAAAAGGACTGACCAATCAGGCGCATTCATTCACAAGGGAAACTCAAGCTCGCCTTAGCAACCATCTTAGCAACATTGCATCTGCTTCCGTTATGCCGCAAAGCCAACCCCCCTTGGCTCCAGCTCGTGTATGTTCTAATCAGCTCCTTCTTCTGTACCTGTGCTCTAAAGTGGGCGCTCTTTAGTCCCTATTCATTGATCATAATTTGAGAGTTTTAGAAGACCAACATTTCATTTTTCAGATTCCTGTACTCGCTTTCTCTTTCCAATTGTTTTAATCTTTATTCTTGTAATTTTGTATTCATTCAGACCACATCTATATCTACATGTAATCTTACGTTCTGCCATTGCCCAAACAACTATAACTGTACTTTTAGCCCATTTTGAGTGTTTTAATTTCACTTCATCCAAACTGGAGTTATCTATAATCAGCAATAGCACATGGGTCTTTGGCTTTAATGTTTAGATGACCCTGATCATACTCAAGGATGGAAAGAAGCTGGAATTGTATCTGCAGTGGATAACATAGAGCAAGGTTGTGATAACGTTTCCTGATTGTATAATTTGACCCAACAGATATTTGTCAAGAATGGTTCCTCTGACATTAGACAGCATATGTTGAGTTTATTTATTTTCCAAAACAGATCTTTGTGAACTCACGAAACAAAGACATACAAGATTGTTAGAAGGGCATGGGCAGGATTGTTTTTTAGCCAAACTGTAAAGCACTTTGTGTTGCATTTGTTGTATGAAAAGCGCTTTATAAATAAACTTTGATTGATTGATTGATTGAAGACATCACTTGCTTCTGTCTGCTACAAAGTGATAATAACACTGGCTCGTTGCTAGTGTTATTATCACTGGCAATGATTGAACTGCCACTGGGAACTGGATAAAGCGGAAGAAAGTAGATGGACCGTAGCATCCCATACTCAGTGATAGAATATACTTGATCACTGTACTATTTGTATATTTTTAATTGCTTTATGTCTGGACCCGATTTACGACCCTCACTCACTCTGTTAGAATGAGGGTAGATCAAACAGACTTCTGGGGTTTTCTCTCTTTGGCCCCGGAGCCTTTCCTGCAGATATGAAACCGCCCGGACCCACGTGGAGATACGGGGACGTCATATCTTCACCACACACACACAAACTGACACTCTTCTTAAAGATGTTTGAGTTTTTTACATATTTTTTGAAAGAAAGCTAATTCAATTACAGTTTTTTTCCTATTGCTTGAACACTATAGACACACTTAGACCAAAGTTACAGAAACTTTTGTACTACACCTCAAACACAGTGTAGCCATTCCTTTAGTTTGCACTTTTAATTACTGTAACACACCTTCTCCTTTAGAAACACACTTTCTCCTGCTCCCTACACACAGGGCACTTTGTTCATAAATGAAATCCTGTGTTATCATTGGGAAAACACATCTGTCCAAAATACAAAACACATTGGGTGATTGAAAGCACTAAGACACACACTTGAAAACACAAACTTACATGACACACAGCTAGACATAGCCTGGTCGTACCACACCATAGCACAAATTGCTTTTCGTACTAAGGTCTGGAGGCGCTCCATTGAGCTCCGTTTACAAGTGGGAGGGGTTAACTCCTTTTGCAGATTGAAACGATTGGATCTGAGTTTACGTGGCGGTATACCGCATTCTTCTTGCTCCGGCTTCAATTTCTTGATAGAATCAGACCGGATTACTTTACTATCGCATTCTTCGCCACTGCCAAACTACAACCTGCCCGTTCGGCACAAACTCTTGACGTCACCCACAACTACAACCCCTGCCTCCCACGCTCTCTGATTGGTCGGATGGAATTCAACCGATTGTAATCGCTGACACAGGGACCAGACCCAGACGCTACATGCAGGAAAATGATAATTGAGCGGAGTGTACGAATGGATAAGGCCAGGCTAAGCCAGACATAAACAAGCCTCAGTTTAGCCATTTTCAAAAATTTTGCAAGAATAATAATATTAATGATGACAAAAATGCATCTGTTTTATACTGCGCTTTTTTGGACACTCAAAGACGCTTCTCTTGTCATTATTCTTTCACTCCAAACACGGTGGTGATAAACTACTACTGTAGCCACAGCTGCCCTGGGGCACACTGACAGAAGCGACGCAAACAGTATGTGCCATCGGCCCATTCACAGAAAGTGATAAACAGAATAAAAACAGTGCGCATGAAAGACTGCAGTGTTTTATATATTGTACTCTAGTGTGTACAGAATGCATTACTGAACGTCTGGAGTCTAAGTTTTATTTCTTCTAACTCCATTTGGGGCTGACAATAGTGACAAAATAAATACATGTAGTAAATATGGCAAGTCAGTGAATGCTGTTAAATATGACTTGTGTATATACAGTATGTATGTACAAAATGTATTTATCTATGCGTGTGTTTGTGTATGTGTATATATGATGAATGTATGAACTATTTGTGCTCCAATTAATGAGTGAAAGGGAGAAAATAAATATAATCTTTGTTCCTTTTTATTGCTCAGTCAACTCACAAAGTGGTGATTCTGTAAAATGGGCAGAGATTTTATATATTGCTCTTATAGATGATAAATGTATAATAGTACAGTGTTCATTACATTCTAATATTATTATAATCTGGATTTACCAGATGGCGGCTGAACTTGAATCAATCAATCAAACTTGGCTGCCCCGTCACACAAAGATTTTGTTGATGCAAATGAATCTGACACTGCTTTGACTGCTGCTATAACACTGCACTGAGAGACCAGAGATCAACCAATACAAGAGAAAGTACATTTTATATCATGTAGTAGTTGTAGTTGAAGAGGTAGAAGTGGTAGTGGTCGCAGTAGTGGTACTAGTGGTCATGGTAGTAATAGCAAATGCAGCAGCAGTTGGTTGCAGCAGGTAGGTATAGATAGACCGTATAATGTCTTACATGACATTATAGAGTCACTTGAAGCAGAAATATTAATATATAAATATTGGAAATTATTGTAGTTACAATTGGAATAATTGAAGTAGCATTTACTAAATTGCACAGACACTCCTTCAGTTATTTATCTTGTCTTTTTATATGCAGTACATTCAGTACAATTACAACTTGTCCGTGACA